CTCTCTGGTCTGTGCCATCAGTCCCTCCATCCATTCAGAAGGGTGGGAGCAAAACTACAGTGCAGGTCTGTTCTGAGCAGTCTCACTCCCACACTGTGATCCTTACAAGTCCTAGTGATAAATCCCACCATTGCTGAGTCCCCGTGCCTGGCAGTGTTCCTGGCTAGAGTAAGAACAGAAGCTTCCCTGGTGGGCGGGGGCTCACAGCTGTGAGGGCGGGGCTGCTAGGAGCTGTCCTGTGCTCAGTGGCACTTAGCCCCTGCCAGCTGTCTGCTCCACGCAGTGACAGGGCATCAAGCCCCGCAGTTCCTGGTCTGGCAGCAGCTTTATAGGCAGTAGAGGGCCACGGGTGCTGGCACCATTGACCCCCCTACTTGACCCTGGAGCTGGGCTATGTCAGATATGTCTGGGCTAGAAATGTGCTAGACACTAGAGGGTCCTTTGGTGGTATAACCTCAGCCCCGATCTATCTGCCTTACTGAATCCTGCTGAGCTTTTGTGGCCTAGCGCCAGCCCATCTCTTTTGGAAGCTTTCTCTGACTTCCAGCCCCTTCTGACCTCCTTGGGGAAGCAATGGAATATGCTTGGGTTTGGTTTTCCCTGGAGACCCTCAGTCCCCAGCCCCCACAGATCCCCACAGAATCAAGAGTCACCCTCCAGCATCCTACACCCAAGCACTCAGGAGGGGCTGATAGGCTCAGTGGCTTGGGTCAGCTAGGCCTCCAGCAACGTGCCCAGGCAGTGATGGGGTCCAACATCATTTATCAGGGTGCTCCTGATAGGGGAGGGTTGGCGATCGCATAGCCGTGTGCCCAAAGGGCACTCCATGCATGCGCACATTCGTTGAACCAGCAGTGACGAGGGTGCTCCGGTGGCCAATGGGATGGCTCTGAGGCTGCTTTTATTTCCTGGCATGGGGGCTGCTGGGCCCCTGCCATCATGGAGCTCGTCCACCAGGACAGGGTCAGGAAGAGAGCCCGGCGTGCTGAGATGCTGTAAGAGCAAGTGAGAGGGTCTTCCAGAGCCATCCAGCTACTGCTGATCTATCTAGATGGTATCTTTGTACAGTTGAGCAAAGTGCTCTTCTCTGGATGGTGACACTTGCCAAAGAGGTCTCCCCAGGCTGCTGTAGACCTGGGGGTATGGCTAGAGAGCAGAGGCGCTCCTGTGAGTTCAAGTGCTTCTGTGCCCCCCATGGGGTGTCACCCCCCCACACCCCCATCCCCCTTCTACCAGGTATCTCTGCATTCTCAGAGCAGCTCGGTGGATCTTGTGTAACTGTCTCTCCAGACCAGTAAAGTGCAGCCACATGATCCATGAGGCACCGCCAACCTGTGCTGCTGCCTCATACAGAGCTGCGGCCATAAAAGACCTGGGTCTTTAGTGTTCTTCCCTCGCTGAAAGAGGCAGGATGCTGTCAGCCACCGTAAAAATGTGACCTTTGAAAATTTACAAGAGCTCGGGTTTAAGAAGCTGCTGCGTTAATGATGCATCCCATTAGCATCTCATTAAAGGGAAGCAGAGAGAAGCCTGCTCGGGCCTGATGATGGGCAGACAGGGCCACTGTGCAGGGCTGGCTCTGTTGATCTACCTCTCTCTGCCAAGCGCTTCTATGCCACTGGGGCAGAAGCTGTAGCCAGCGATGTCCGAGAAAGGCGGAAGGTCTGGGTGGCAGTAAGAAGAAGCAAGCAAGTACAGGCCACCCAGCCCTGCCTCCCTCCCCGCTGGCTGGGGCCAACTTCTCCTGGCTGGAGGCTCTTCGTAGCTTTCTTGTATTTGTGTTCCACCCCCTTCCCCTGAGGGGGCCTGGAACTCAGGCCTGCTTTGCCCCCAACCTGAAGGGGTTCTGTCCCATAGGAAAGAGCCAGCAGAAGCTGAGTTCACAACCGGAGTCATGGACCCATACATGACCCCAGAAACTGCTAGAAACTGAACTCTCCATGGCTTTACTTTGAGCTTGGAGCCCTTGGCAAGAGAGTCTCTGGCCAGGCTGCCAGTCTTCTGTATCACCAGCCTTTCCCTGAGGGTCCGCTCCTGGGAGCCAGTGTTCTAGAGAGAAAGAAACATTGGCTAGATTGTTTTAATAAAAGAAAATTCCTGAACAGCAAGTGGCTTACTGCTTCAGATGTTCCTAGCAGAGTAGAATATGAGTAGCCTTATTTATCTTCCCTAAAGGAGGAAAAAGAAAAAAAAAAAAAAAGATTAAGAACCTGCTTGTCGTCGTCATGGAAAACACAGCCAAACAGCAGACCTCCTGCAGCAACCCAAGCTCCAGCCGGCTTGCCCAGCTTCTGTGCTGGGCGTAACACAGTTCACACCCTTTGTACACCAGGATTCTCCACTCTACTGCAAGAGACACTTGAGGATAAGGCTGCGTATGAGTTGCCCACGTCCCTACTGTCCCAGCCTGTGGTCGACATGGGCCCCATACCTATTTGCTGAAGAACACACCAAAGCACAAAGGAGCCACAGAGAGCGCTGGCAGGCATGTTTGGAAGCAAGGGCCTGAGTGACAGATAGTCGGAAAGGCATATAATTTCCCAAGTTCAGAAACTAGCTTAACTTTAGAGCAGAAGTTTTAGAGGCGGAACTTGTGTCCCAAACTCAAGAAGATACCCCCCCCCCCGCACACACACACCTCTCTTCTGGCAGCATTGCCCATCCCAGGATACGTTTCTTGAACTCTTCTTTCCCTTCAAGGCCACACGCTGCCTCAGCAGGACAGAATGTGGAGATTGGAAATCTCAGTTGCCTGGGAGCCCTGAGGATCTGGGGCAGCAGTGAGGGTCTGCAGCGCCCCCTCCTGGCAGGAGGGGTTTCCAAATGGTCAGTGAAGGAGCCTGGGGTCTCAGAACTCAAACTTTCCCCTATGGAGAGCCGTGAATGAGACGTTCCAGGGGACCAATCTTTGTGCCACCAGGACCCCAGGGTCTGGAAGTACAGAGAGGGCTGCTGAGGGGCTAGATAGCTTCTTCCTTCAGACAAGGCACACATTGAAAGCTATCAATTTGGAGAACGCTGGAAATGTCAGACTGTGGTTCCCTGGTACTACTGCTAAACATGGCTAACTCCTCAGCCCTGACACACATGCCCCCTGCCTTCCCCTAGTCACAGTAGTACGGGAGCCTCTGACCAGGACATTTGCCTGTGGAATTGTTCCTTTCTTGGGAGAGTCGCTTTTTCTTTGTTCTGTGCTCTGTGCACAGAAGCCGAGCATCTGAAGCGCAGGCCAGAGGTAAAGTGCAACCTAATGCAATTAGCTCAGCTCAGCCTTGGGGCCTAATGCAGTGTGGCTCCTGTTCCTCCCTGCAGGCTCCATGCCAACACTGTGTATTGGCTCCATTATGTGACCAAGCCCCAAGAGCTGCCGAGCATACTGCCCATACTGCTCTGTGCCTGGCCTAGGACAGGAGAGTCTCTGGTCAGGGAGCTCAGCCCTCCTACAGCTGCATCTCTGGCTGAGTGCCACCAGAAGTCACTGCCTGATGGTGGCACTTACTTGAAGATGCCCCTGGGCTTCCTTTGGTCTCAGACACTTTTCCCAGAAGGCAGCTGTTTCATTCTACCTCATACCGTACCCTAGGCCTGGTGGTGGACTATGACACCCCCTCCCTCTCTCTCCCTCTCTCTCTCTCTCTCTCTCACACACACACACACACACACACAGAGTATGTCTTAGGGCGAACTTCTTATACATAATGACCATGGTCAAGAAATTTGGAAGCTCTAGGAAAGAGTAGACGTTATCCCCCATTTCCTCACCCAAGGTCCTGCTAACATTGTGGTTCTCCCCTCCTACACATGTTACTCCACATGCAGACATTCACATCAGGAAGACATAGGTGTGTCATTTTCTGGCCTGCTTTTTTTGCTAGTTAGTTGGAACTGGAGTTTGAACTCAGAACCTCAAGCTTGCCAGCTGCTTGTACTCTAGCACTGAACCACACCCTCAGCCCTTTGTTGCCCTGTTTTTGAGACAGGGTCTTGCTGCCCACATTGGCCATGCCATGCCTGGATCACAATCTGCCTACTCTAAGCTTTCCATCCTCACTGGGGATGACAGGGACACATGGCCACACCTACCTTGTTTCTCTTGAGATGGAGTTTGGAGGACTTTTTCTGCCAGGGCTGGCCTTGAATCACAATCCTCCCATTCTTAGCCTCCCAAGTAGCTAGGATTGCAGGTACAAGACACCTGCACCCAGCTGCTGCGGTTTGTTTTTCTAATTAACATTATATGTAGTTGTGAATATGTTGCATTCTCATCTGGAATCCTTAGCAAATGTGATTCTTGATGACTGTGTAATATTCCAGAGCTGTCCCAATGCTCACTTTCACCTCAGCATTCATGTTCTTCTTATTCTGCAAACCTAAGCCAGAGAGTGAAGTCTTAGAGCAAACTTCCTGTTCTGATCACCCAAATGTTCATCTCCACCCCCAGCCCAGGAGCAGGGTCTGAGCCGTCCCCCTAAACATGCCTTATTTCCTGTTCCCCATCCTCTTCAGGACGGGCAGGATGGGGCAGGTTGCCACCTGATGGTGGGTCTCAGCAGACCAAGCATGATCCTATCCCAGGAACCCTTTGTAAAACAGCCACCTGTCAGAGGGTGGCCGTGATTCCACCGTGGATGCCTAGCACCTGTCCTGAAGAAGTCTGTAGCGTTTGTGCTGTGGTGGGTTATTGGCAGTCTGAGGACTGGAGGACCCCAGGTGGTAGCATAGAACGCTCCTCCCTGTGCAGTAGCTTGAATTGGCAGCTACTGAGAGGTGTGGGGAAGTGCTGGCTTGGGACTCGGAGGCAGGAATCAGGAATCGGCAGAGGCCACAGCTATGGTGGCGCTGCCTAGGTGTCCTGCAGTTCCTACCTGACTCTGGTTGCAAAGCCAGCTCTCTGCCTCTGCTCTGAGCCCAGGGGATAAAATGCAGGCCACAAAGGTATTCTATTCTAGAGGATAGCTCGGACCAAGCTGTATTCACCCTCCCTATATCTCTTCCCACAGGCTCCTGGCATCTCCAAAGCGGACAATCCATCCCAGGGACTGGCAACCAGCATCCGGTGGGGGCAGACACCCATCAACCAGTCCACACCCTGGGACACCGACGAGCCGCCCTCCAAACAGATGAGGGAGAGCGACAATCCAGGTGTGTACGTCACCCGCCCTCTGGGTCACCTCCTGCTGGTGTCCTGCTCTTCTGCAGAAACACACACCTCAGGCCCGGGGGACAGGGTCCAGTCTATTTCCTGTGTGGTAGCTGTGTCTCTTCTCATGTTGAGGATATTCAAAGGCCGGGTGCAGGGGAGTATTTGAGAGAACAAGAGTGTTACAGAGGTAATTTCCAGTGAGGTGCAGGTTCATTTTGTGTAGTCGTTCCCAAACCGCAGTATTTGGATTGAAACCAAACTCTGCATCTTCCAGGAGGTTTTGCATTGGGCGTGAGTCCATGAGGACTGGGTCACTCTGTGCTCACGAGCTGGGACGTCCTCTCCCACAGCACCCCACGCGGCCTCTGTCCGCACAGCTCCAGCCACCACGCGTGGCCTCCTTTTCCCTCCTGCCAGCCCCATCGTTGCCCCTTAGGATACCCATGTCACACCCGCTTGTCCTTGCACACAGCAGCCTCACAGATAACCAGAGAGCCTTGTCATCCCTTCTCCAAGTGTTTTGCCAGATAAATACCCCAAGCCCTTTGTCCAGGCCCCAGAATCCATGAATGCCCATCCCCTTCACCTGGGTCACTGTTCAGTTCTGTGTCCCTCTTGAGTCCCAAGTCCAGAACAACCCGCAGAGCTCAGGTGCAGTGTAACCAGCACCTCCACTGTGGTTCATGCAGCCTTCAACCATATCTGTGCAAGCCCAGTCCCCCTCACATGGCCTCTAACAATAAAACGCCAGCACTGGCCGTGAGCCTATCCCTGTCTAACCTCCTTGCAGTCAGACTTAGGCAGCTGGGTCTGGAGACCAAAGGACAGGCCTTGCCCACCTGCCCCTGTGACCCTCAGATCTCTTAGACTCCCATTCCCACTGCTGCCCTAATCCCTGTCCTTCCAGTATCGTCTGTCCTCCGCAGACCAGTCACAGTCCTTTCCATGTTGTCATTGCAGCCAGCGATCCAAGCCATAATCAGGGCTTGCCGTACGGGACTAGAGACCGCTCCTTAGGTCTCTGTCCCCCTTTCATTCTCTACATCTCTGGTTACCATGGAGTTCTCTGCAGACTCGCCCACTGGACTCGAGTTCTGCTACATTTTCCCAGACTCCCTGGCTAGTCCTGGGGAGACTTGAGCTTGTCTGGGAGACACCCAGCTGGCTCCTGATGATAACCACCTCCTCTGTTTAGTGTGAGGACAGTCCCCGTCAGCAGCCCATTCTAGAACCTTGCCAGGACTGCTTTGCCAATGTTTGTGGGCTTCTAGTACTCCCCAGCTTCTCTCAGTCTCAAAATCATAAATATTTCTTGTCCGTGTATCCTATGGTATGTTCCGTGTGTCATCTCCACACTGTAGGAGTCCTGGGATGTTGGTGTCCATGTTGTACCCACAGCAGATGAGCCTTGTGCCTCCCGCCACTCAGCTAAGAGGGCACAGGACCAGGCTTCCGAGAGTCCCAGTCCTGGCACTACACCACCATACTGACAGCACCCCCTGGTGTTGGCAGAGTCAACAATCCTGTGGACTCCTTCCCTGCTAGACCATTTTATTCCTGAGAGGGAGCTGTCAGACCCACCCTCTGGCTTCTTCTTACCATCTTCAGTCTCCACTGCTCCCCCGCTCCCACCCAGAGAAATCACAAAAACCAAGGCAGCATTTGGGCAATGGAGAACCCAGGCCAGGACTTGTTTAGTCATAGATGACCCAGACTGGCTTTCCTTGTCCAGCCCCGCTGGATCACTGCCGGGTTGATTCAGCTCAAGGAGTAGGGGGCATCCTGCTTTTCCTGATCTGTGCACAAGTGGCTACGTCACATACAGTGCATCTCCAGAAGTGGGTCTGGACCCCCTTATTTGGCCAGAATTTCTTTAGAAGCTAAAATGGGCTTCTCTTGTTTCCAGGAGGGCTGGACAAAGCTCAGCCTCACAGCAAAAAGTGTGCTGCCAGCCTTTTCTAGGCCCCACTGGCCCCTACCCACCTGGGTACACCTTGTCAGGCCCCAGGCTCTTGCCTCTCCAAAAGCCCAGCACTCAACAGTTTCCACCACGCGGCTTCTTTGTCCCTCCCTCCTTTCCTCCCTTCCTCAGAATTCTCCAGAAAGGGAGAAGAAACACCCACATTTATGGAACATTTATCACATACCAGAACCTCTTCTAGTTTTATTTTGGTTCCTCAATCAGTTCTCAGTGGCTCAAGGGGGTCGGCATCACCAGTTCCAGTTAACAGGTGACAAGAACGAGGCTCAGAAGTACAGAAGCGACTTGCTGGGACTCTTAGCCAGTAAGCGGCAGACTTGAGATTTGAACCTAGGTCTCTTCAAAGGCCTCAACATTTTGCACTCTGCTTCATTGCTTTTCACCTTTCCCAGGCAGACTGTTGCTTTCTCCTTGGAACTTTTCACAGCCATTTGCTTATAGTTCGTAAAGACCTTAGACTGAGTGCTAGAATCACAGAGCCCTGGCCTGCCAAGTGCCTAGACTTGTCACCCACATTTGTGACTCCAGCACCCAGCCCGGGATCTAAGGCAGTCGGTGTTTGTGAGATGGATGTCTAACCGGCAGATAATATTTCTTCCGTCTCCCTTGCAGGCACAGGGCCATGGGTGACCACGGTGGCCGCCGGGAACCAGCCTGCCCTGATCGCACACTCCTATGGAGTGGCCCAGCCTCCCTCCTTCAGCCCGGCTGTGAACGTCCAGGCCCCAGTCATCGGGGTGACCCCCTCGCTGCCTCCCCACGTGGGGCCCCAGCTTCCGCTGATGCCCGGCCACTACTCACTCCCACAGCCGCCCTCCCAGCCTCTGAGCAGCGTGGTGGTGAACATGCCTGCCCAGGCCCTCTATGCCAGCCCTCAGCCCCTGGCGGTGTCCACCCTGCCTGGTGTGGGGCAGGTGGCCCGCCCCGGACCCACTGCTGTGGGCAACGGCCACATGGCAGGGCCCCTGCTGCCTCCTCCACCACCGGCTCAGCCATCCGCCGCTCTCCCCAACAATGCCCCTGCCACCAATGGGCCCCCCACAACTGACTCGGCCCATGGGCTGCAGATGCTGCGGACCATTGGCGTGGGGAAGTATGAGTTCACCGACCCAGGGCACCCCAAAGGTAAGTCCTGCCACCCACACACACCTCCCTGTGTGCCTGCTCCATGCCTCCCTGCCCGGTCACTTCCCCGGCAGGGGCCAGACAGACTGTGCTTCATGGTGGCTCCTTCTCTGGTCTTACCTAACCTGGAGCTGCATCAGGTCCTCACCCTGCCCAGAAGAGCCTGGCCTCAGACAGGGGAGGCCAGAGGGCTAGAGTGGAGGGTGGGAGGAAAGGGCTGTTTGTATGGACAAGAAGTGCAAGACAGGAGGAGGAAGGAAGGGAGAGCCTGAGACCAGAGCCCCAGACCATACTCACCTCTGACCTTTGACCATGCTCCCCTCTGACCCCTGGGCCAGGCTAAGGTGAACGTTGAGAAGGAATCATTTCTTCCTCTCAAGGCTCCCTAGAAAAGCCCCCTTGGGATTGTTCACCATTTTCTACCCATGAGGACATTCAGAACACAGACTGCCCATGCGCCCTCCAGGAAACGCCTCCTCTGCCGAGCCACTGCCTGAGTACAGGACCAAGGCATTTACACCGGTCCAGGCACAGTCTCAGACGGTCCTGAGCCAGAGCTAGGGGGGGTCTGTGGAACCTTGGAAAGAGCAGCCCAGCCTTCAGTGGATCCTCCTTCCCCAGCCCCTGAGGAGTTTCCTTACAGGGAGGCTCAGAGTTAGAGCCTTGGGAACAGAGTCTAAGGAGGAAAGAAGAAACATATGAGGGCATGCTTCTTGGTATAAGCACCAGCATGGAGGAGGTAGGCTCTGAATGAGGCTGGCAGGTTCATCTGCTCCTAATTATCTGCTGATCCCTTAATGCCAAGGTAGGCTAGGTCCTTCTCCTGCCCAGGCTAGAAGACAAACTGCTGGGTCTCAACCAGGTGCAGCAGCTCTAGGCACAGGAGACAGGATCCGTGCTGAGCAGTCCAGACAGCCTGCCACGGTACCTAGGCCTCCTTCAAAATGGCCAGTAGACAGTCCTAGACTAGTTACACATCTGGACACAACTTCTTTGCCTCCCCAAAGAGCAATATCCAAGTAGCCACTCTCTTCTTACCTCCAAAGATTCTGTCTCTAGCCTTCAGAACCATTTCCCCAAAACAAAAGCCATGCATAGGTTTCTGTCTGGTTTCATCCCCAATCGGAGTGAGCCCTGGCTTCCTTTGTCTTAGAAATCAGCACTAGCTTTAGGTGATAAAATTATAGGAAAATACATCTAAATTCTAGCAGACTCTTACTTTAAGATCTGTTGTTGTTGTTGTTTTCTAATTTACTAGATGTATACCTTGTTTGAATTATTTTGGTTCAGCCCCGCTCCCTTTAAAAAGTCTCCCCCAGCCCCTCAAAAACAAATGCTCACTCTGACACAGCTGGCCATGGGAGTCACCCAGTCTTTCTCAAAGCCAAGGGGCACGGGTTGGCTTCCTCGTCCTCCCATGGGTGGCATGACTTAAGAAAGGTCTTGCTGACTAGGCATGCATCCAGGAAAAAGAATTATTCTCTGCAAGATGGAGCTGGCCCAGAGAGCAGGGGAGTCCCTGGCCTGGTGCTCAGCAGCCAGCTAGGACCCGCCTCACCAAGCTGCTGCGTGTAAGCCAACCTCAACATCCTTAGCCCTAAAAGGCAGGAGATGGGGAAGGCACAGGTGGTAGGGACAGGTGGCCATTGAGCCGCCCAGCCTGCTGGGTCACTGGATGGTTGTAGAGTGGATCCAGTGACAGCTGGGCAGAGTCCATCCTCTGTGGTCTCGAGCCTTACAGATGAGAGGAGAGAAGAAAGAGCATTCTGATGGGATGCTCTGTCAGGTCTCCCAGGGGTAGACAGAGTGTGGGTGAGAGCCAAAGAGGAAAAACCAGAGAAGGGTTCAAGACCCCACCTTCTAAGGACCACCACCCCGCCATGCCCGGTCCTTCGGCTCCAGCCAGTGCCCTGGGTGACCTGTCTGTGATGCTCATTCCCAAAGGATGCCCTCAAGCCAGCAATTTTCCCAGAAATTACATTTAACTCGCTTCTGTGTGTGTATGGTCCTCATCAGCTGGTAGATCAATTCCCTTGTATTTTCCGGGAAGAAAGGCAAGGAAGTATGCACTACAAATGCTTAACTCGGGGTGGGTTTTTTTTTTAATAATTTCTCCTTTCATTTCTAATCTTAAAAGCCTTTATTACTGAAGCTATAATTTGTCTGTCAGATCTCATGTCAAACAACGGCATTTTTTTTTTAAAATAAGAAGCCCAAATTTTGAAACCAAATCTTTGCAGCTTGCTATAGGAGAGTCATAATCCTGACAAGACCACGTGAGTGTGGATTTGGGTCACTTTTAATTTTGCCCCTAGGGATTTTTAACATCTCTGAAACCCAATTGATTTCACACTCTTAAATGATAGACAGCTAGCTCCAGGCGGGAACAAGAGGCGCTGTACGATTATATCAACACAAGTCAGAACTCCACTTTAAAAAAAAAAAAAAGAGGAAGAAGAAGAAAGGAAAGAATTTTCCTTTTCTCCCGTTCTCTGTTTGAAACCTTGCCCGGCATTTTAATAAGATCCACGGTAGAACACAGCGCGATCTAGCTCATTACAGCCCTGAGACTTTGCCTACTATTGTTTGAGGTGACAACCTGGCCTCTTCGTGGGCTTGAGTAATTATGGAGAGATCCCCCTCCACGAAGAACAGGTCTTGCCAGCCAGAGGGATGGGCCACTGGTATTTTTAGACTTCATTAGAGCTCTGAGTTAAAAATTTCACTTTTTGTTTCTTGTAATTATCATCTAACCAACTGAGTGAAATTTTCAGTCGGAGCTCTATTAGTCTGCCTTCCCCCACCTCCAGTCCCTCCAAAAAAAGAAAGGGGATGTTGGGACTTTAATTTAAAATTTAACCAATTGAAAAATAAAGGTAGTGTGCAAAATGCCTTTTGATTCGCAATAGGTCAAATGATTGTCTCTCATCTGTGACTAGAGAAGCCAGCTTGCGTGCAGTTCACTTTAATGAGTGTTATTTAAATGCATTGAGCACATATAGATTTTCCTAAGAAATGTACGAGATAAATCTTTCGCTGAGAACAATTTGGGGGTGGGAACAAGCTGTGGGATTTTTTTTTAGATTATATATATTGAAAGCTAATTAAAAATAGATTTCATGTGTGCAAAGTGATAAGGGAGGAAAACAGAATTAGTTCCATTTGGATCTGTTACGAAATACCTGAAATGAGTGTCTGGTTGTTGGATTGGACCCCCGAGCTAAGCCTGGGGGAGTAGTTTGGCCAAGCCAGGCTTCCGTTCAGCCCTGGGGTCTCCTGTCCCTGTCTCTGGAGCTCCCTGGGTACCCACAGCAGAGCTGCAGGCAAGGGATGTGGTGATTTCTGTTGCTTGCTTTCTTCCCTAGAAGCTAGATTTAGGCTCAGCGAGACTGTGCGTGGCTGAGGAGAAAGGACCAGGCTAGGCCTGCCTTCTGCTTGCTTACAGACCACCACCCCCCAAAAAAAAAAATTAAGTCCTAGGTGACTTCAATAGGAAGATGTCTTTTTGTGTTTATTTGGGGGGGTGTTCCTTTTTTGTTTGTTTTGGTTTAATGGAATTATTATATGAACTCAGGGCCTTGCAGATGCTAGTGATGTACTCTCCTGCCCCTTTTTGCTTTAGGTTATTTTGCATATAGTCTCCCTCTTTTTCCCCCAAATGGCCTTAGATCTCAATCCTTCTATCTAATTCCTCCCAGGTAGCATGGCTCCCAGGTCCAGCTTGTCTGCTGAGATACAGTCTCATGCACTAGGGCTGACCTCAAACCAAGAGTCCTCTGATCTCCATCTCACAGGTAGCTGGGATTATAGATGGGAGCAACTATACCAAGCTCATGACTTAGATTTTTTTTAAATAGGCCTAGGGTAAGGAACTGTGAGAATCCATCTACAGGGTTTGGCCACATGGCAGAATATACTTAGACCCATCCTGTGGTCCCACAGTTTTCTCCCATCCCATTCCTGCTCCTAGGACCCCACTCCAAGCCCTGTGTGGATGACATCTACTTCCTACTCTACAGGTGACAAAGCAGGATCTTGGAAAGATACTTTGAGGCATATAGCTGTATAACTGGGCAAGTCCTTGATTTCTCTGAACCCTCTTCTCCAAGCTTTAAAATGGGGTGACAATACCAACTTCCTGTGCCTAGGGGATGACTGCCGAAAGTACCCACTGTTGCTGCTGGCACTAGCCCAGGGTCAAGTGAGCTGAGAGGTGGAGGCTGGGCCTGCCCAGTGCAGTATGCTCCGGACTGGCAGCACCAGTTAATGCCATTCCATGGGGGTGGGGGGTAATCTTCAGGCATGTAGCCAGCTCAGATCTCATCTCTCCTCACCCCACTCTCTGACATGGGGTCCACTGTTCCCTCTGTAATTGCAGAGATACTCTAGAAAGAACTACAATGCATGAGAAATTTATTTGCCCACACATATGTAGGCAAGGGGCATAAAATGTTGTCCACTTTGCACTCACCTTTCCAGACCTGCTCTGCCTATGTTCGCATCCTGAAAATGCTGCTGTGAAGCCATCAGGGTTCAAACTCAGAGCTACAGGCTCCAAGACGCAGCCAAGGTAGTCTCTTCCAGACACAGCCTGGGCCTGCCACAGGGCTGTGGTTATGTCCCCGGTGGTCCTCGCTGCTCCGGTGACCGGTGACATCAGAGAGGAAGGAACATCGGGTAGGGGAGCTCCTCCCCAGCCTGATCAATAAATGGGGACAATTTTGATCTAGGTCTTCAGCACTCAGAACCTTTCTGCCTCCTGAATTACCTTTTCCTGTGCTGTGTGTGGGCCGCCCTGGGTTTCCTTCATTTGCCCATGCTTCGTGTTTTGAACATGGCACCTGCAAGGCAGATTATCTTTTTCTATTGTCTCCTCACTGGGAACCCCTGGGAGGCAGGCCAGGACATCATCCCGTTCCCACTTTGACCTCAATAGCTAAACCAGTGCCCAACACAGAGATGCTCAAGGAGCATACAATGGTTAAAGGCCCAAAGCACCA